AACAATTAATGTCACATAGACACCAAAGTATTAAAGTTTTCCCAATTAAAAGACAGGTGAGGTCACCTGATATTAATATTTATGTTGTTACTCTAAAAATAAAAGGAATTCATTAAAAAGAAGACAAGCATAAATATTAAGAAATAAGAAAAACATTTCATTTGCATTTAGTTTACCATGTTTATCTTCCTAGATCTATCATTATAAATTGAAATATATAAATATTGAAAATATATGTAAATTGAAAAATAATATAACTGACATGTGCATTTTAATAAGGTGGTTACTATAAGCATAAATACTTAAACTTTTTTCTCTATTGCACTATTAAATGCATAATTAATACATGCAAATATGTAAACCAAAATATAATATCTGCAGTGTTCAAAAATACAAACAAATGTGAATCAAGCTCAGAAACAATAATAGTAAACCTATACTCAAATTAAAACCACTAAACTACATTGGCAGCTTCCCAGGTGGAACACTGGTAAAGAATCCACCTGTCACTGCAGGAGATGCAAGAGAGGTGAATTCGATCCCTGGGTTGTGAACATCCCCTGAAGGAGGAAATGGCAACCCCACTCCAGTATTCTTGTCTGGAAAATTCCATGGACAGAAGAGTATGGCAGGCTACAGTCCATGGGGTCACAAAGAGTAGGACAAAGCTGAGTGACAGAGCACAAACACAGGCACAAAATAAATAGAGATTAATTTTAAGAGATAAAAGTAAGGTTGTATTATCAGATGAAAAGATTTCAAATGTATAGATCTAACATTTTCTCTAGGTCAGGAAGCAACAGTTAGAACGGTACATGAAACAACAGACTGGTTCTAAATAGGAAAAGGAGTACATCAAGGCTGTATATTGTCACCCTGCTTATTTAACTTATATGCAGAGTACATCATGAGACACTCTGGGCTGGAAAATTGATGCTTTTGAACTGTGGTGTTGGAGAAGACTCTTGAGAGTCCCTTGGACTGCAAAGAGATCCAACCAGTCCATCCTGAAGGAGATAAGTCTTGGGTGTTCATTGGAAGGACTGATGCTGAAGCTGAAACTTCAATACTTTGGCCACCTCATGCGAAGAGTTGACTCATTGGAAAAGACCCTGATTTTGGGAGAGATCAGGGGCAGGAAGAGAAGGGGATGACAGAGGATGAGATGGCTGGATGGCATCACCGACTCAATGGTCATGAGTCTGAGTAAACTCCGGGAGTTGGTGATGGACAGGGAGGCCTGGCATGCTGCGATTCACGGGGTGGCAAAGAGTCAGACACGACTGAGAGACTGAACTGAACTGAACTGAACATTTTCTTTAATTACTCTGGGAATATTTATTTCTAGGCAAATTCCTAAATGGATTCTGAGGAAGTATATATGACAGCAAGAATATAATTTTAAGATGTTATTTGATCAGTCATGTCTGACTCTGTGACCTCATGGACTCTAGCCCATCAGGCTCCTCTGTCCATGGAATTCTCCAGGCAAGAATATTGGAGTGGGCAGTCATTCCCTTCTCCAGGGAATCTTCCCACTCCAAGCATGCATTGCAGGCATGTTCTTTACCATTTTACCAATGGATCTGTACTATTGAAAGCAGATTCTTTACCAGGAAGTCCTAATTTTAAGTGTAAAATGAACCTAAGTGAAAACTGAATCCTAAGCCTGGGGAAGTCACAGGTTGATAAATACATAAAATATGAAATTTGAGAGTCCAAAATATATGCAATTAAAATTATAAATGGACACAATATGCTAATATTGATGAAAGTAGAAAATATTGCTATATATTCTGTGAATATACATCTGATGAAATAGAATTAGCAATTTACTGCAACTTAGCCTCACACTAATAAAAACATTTTGCATTTAAAACAATTATTTTTCAAAGAAAATCATAATAATAAGTTATTGGTCAGGATGCAAGACATTTTTTTGCATGATATTATTGAAAAAGCATTTTGGCAAATCCTATGAAAGACAGGGCTCCCCAGGTGGTGCTAGTGCTAAAGAACTGGCCTGCCAATGCTAGAGACATAAGAAATATCAGTTCGATCCCTGGGTAGGGAAGATAGCCTGGAGAAGGGAATGGTAGCCCACTCCAGTATTTTTGCCTGGAGAATCGCATGGATAGAGGAGCCTGGTGGGCTACAGTCCTTGGGGTCACAAAGATTTGGACATGACTGAAGTGACAGCATGCACGCATGCACCAAAAACAAAGTTTAAATGAAAATAGTCCTTTGAAGCTAGAAAATATTTCAGTCCCAATTGTCTTGCAATTCACTTTGTAGAAATTCTTCCTAAGGGTATAGTTACCAAGGTGCCCAAAAGTTTATATCTAATAGTATTCAATGCATCTTTCATGTATAATATCTAAATTTGGGGATTATTTTAGACACACATTACTGTAGATATGTGTCTTAGATATATTTAGATATTTTGGATATTAAAAGGCAGAGATCAGTGTAAATAATTTATAAACAGAAAACTCAATTAAAGACAACTGAGAGATGGAAATAGGGAGCTCTTACGCCCTATGATAATAGCAGAGCCCAACAGGAAGGCAGGCTTCCCAGGTGGTGCAATGTAAAGAATCCACCTGCCAATGCAAGAGATGCAAGAGATATGGGTTTCATCCCTGGGTTAGGAAGATGCCCTGAAGTAGGAAATTGGCAACCAGATCCATTATTCTTGCCTGGAGAATCCCATGAACAGAGGAGCCTGGCAAGCTACAGTCCATGGTGTCACAAAGAGTTAGAAATGACTCAATACACACACACACACACACACACACACACACACATGCACCACAGAAAAAAAGACTCTTCTTTTTCATGAAAATGACTAAGCCAGGGAAAAAACACTCTTTGTTTACTCTAACCTTCTCAACTTCTTTTTTCTCTATAAAAGCTTTCTCTTCCTCTTACCCTTTGGGACATGCATATGCTCACCATTATTGTAGATCCAAAATTGTAATTCTGTGCTAATTCTGAATAAGCCTGCCTTTGCTGGAGTCATATTTGGCAGTCTGCTTATTTCAGGCCAGCACTAGTTACTTAAATTTATAGTGTTCACTTACATTTATAATGTTTTGTGTGTTTTTGTGGGAATTTTTTGGCATAAAAGAAATTACTGTATAGCCATTAAAATGTGAATTTCCTAGAATTTTTAAAGTCAAAGAATTCATATGTGTACAATTTAGCTGAGGGAAGCAGTTTATTTATATTTTAACAATGAGATATAATAATAACTTTATAGATACATATATTTAGGAAAAAATGGTCAAAGGTAATTAAATTCTCAAAAGTTATTACTTAATTGGATGTGCAATTCTTTCAACACTTATTCAGTAAATAGATTGAATGTGCAATATGTCCAAGGATAAAATAATGAGTGTTACAGATACCAACATTTATTGACCTTGTATATTTAGTAAAAATAGAAAACAATAGCATATGTAATTTCATCAACTGTAAACAATTTGGGATAGTGTGCAGGGTGGTCTATTTTAAATAAGAGGAAGAATAAATAATTGTTTATGTGGACAGGTTTTGAGGTTAAATTTGAGCAATGATAAAAGCTCAAGCATGTGAAGATTGTAAGGAATAGCATTTAGGCAAAAAAAAAAAAAAAGTACATTCAAAGGGATTTACTGGAGTTAGAGTTGTTGCATTTGAAGCAAAGATGAAAGGGCAATTTGGCTGATGTATTGAGAAAAAAATGTAGAGTAGGCAGGAACAAGATCCAGTGGATGACTTTAGAGGTAGGCATTGTATTCTAATTTTAAGACGTTCTTGAAGAGAACTGATTCTTGAAGAGAACTGATACGTTACCTGTATTTGCAAAGCAGCTCTGGCTGCATTAGCAAGTGGACTTTAGTGGGAAGAGAAGGAAGGAGACTGGAAACTTCTACAGCAGTCCATGCCAGAGGTGTTATTATTGTTGTTTAGGGCAGAGTTTCTCATGGCAGTGAGAGGGAGTTTATTTGCCACCCCAGAGGATATATTAGACAGTATTTGGGGACTTCTTTTGGTTATCACATTGGGCAGGTGGGTACAGCTGGGATCTAGTGGATAGAAGCCAGTCTGCTACTAAACACTGCACATGCACAGGGCAGAGCCTCACAGCCAACAAAGAATTATCTGACCCAAAATATTATCAGTGTTGAGTTTGAAAATCCCTGACTTAGTGTGATAGGAATGGAAAAGGAGAAAAGTAGAGAGATTGATACAATCAGGCAAAAAATATTAAGTACCAAACTTTCGGTAGTCTTTCAAAAGGCTCCTCAGACTATTTCACCAGAAATGTTAAAATATGCAGCTCACATAACTCTCATGAAACATATTTGATACTCTTAAACAAGTAATTAAGAAATTTGAGAATTTTTGTTTTTTTTTTTGTTTCATTTTGTTTTCAATTATTTTGGCTATACTTCTTAATTTTTATTTTATGTTGGAGTTCAATCCCTGGGTCTGGAAGATCCCACAGAGAAGGAAATGTCAATCCACTCTGTTATTCTTGCCTGGGAGATCCCATTGACAGAGGAGCTTGGAGGGCTACAGTCCATGGGTTCTCAAAAGAGTCAGACACAACTTAGCGACTACATAATAATAATAGTTAGCAATAGTAGTTTCAGGTATGCAAGAAAGTGATTCAGTTATGCACATACATGTATCTTCTTTTTCAAATTATTTTCCCATTTAGATTATTACAGAGTATTGAGTAGAATTCCCTATTCTGTGTATTTTGGGGGTTTGGGGTGGCTTTTGGTCATTCTTGTTATTTTTGTTTGGTTTTTATTTTATAAGTGATTATCAGAAAAATACACAGTCTTGAACTGTCAATAATCCATGAAGACTAAACTTAAAAAAAAATCGAAACCAAAATTTTTAAAAAAGAATTTTTTCAAAGCAGTTTGCTAAATGTTATTTTAAAAGAACATTCACTCAAAATCTTTTTTCAGATTAAAAAAAAAAAAAAAAGAAATTGTACTCACTTGCCATTCAATGCTGCCACACCAACTGTGCTTCGGGCAATTGACATGCTAGCTACAAATGTCCACTGCTGACTCTGAGGATCCCACCTCTCCACTGTGTTCAAATAACTCCAGCCATCATGGCCTCCCACAGCATAGATAGGGCCTTCCAGTACCGTCACACCTTCAGTAAAGGAGAGATAAAAAGTGAATGAATCATGGCACAGTGAGGCTCTCAAATCAAATTCACAGTAAAAGCTGTTATCCAGCTGTTATGCCATTCAGAATAGGCTCTATCTGTTAACAAATGATTTCACTAAGGTCGAAACTAGTCACTATTAATTGAACCATCTCATTCACAAAAAAACATAAAGGAATCCATATAAATATTATGATCTAGATGCTTTATGAAGGAAAATATATTTTCTTATTTATGATCATATGAAGATTCAAAATCTAAAAGCCAGAGATGATGCATCTTACGCCTCTACTTTTGAAGACTGTTTCTACACTGCAATTTAAAGTACTTTTTTTTTTTTTTTTTTTCACATTCAGCAAAACTGCGTTAAGCAGTGCAATATAATTAGTTTGAATTTCAGGTTAGGGTCCTCTAAGTTTTGGCTCCCCTGTCAAGACATAATAAATGTATCTAAAGCTTAGAAAATACAATACCTCTTTTCTTATAAGCTGAAATTATTAAATGCAAGCAATTAAATTATTTATGAGTCAGCAATAGAAGACATGCAACTTTTACACACTGTTTTTTTTTTTCTGTCAATTCACTTCTATATTAAATGAATTTTCTTAAATGTTAAACAATCACTAAATATTTAAATATTATGTTTATATTTACTGAAGTGGTCTCATTAGGGGAATTCTGGTGAATTTTCTACAAGGTTCAAAGCACAATGTCTGATTGTTAAGAGCTCTGAAGTATCTGTGATTCTTACCCTATTTGCTAGCTGACAAGTTAGACTGCCACAAAAGTTTGTATATTGAGAGAAGACACAAGGCTCCTGGGTCATAGAAGAAAGATAGTTATTACCATAACAATGGCAATAGTAAGAGTATCAACACTTTTTTTATCAGTTCTCCAAGCCCTAATTTCCCAGTCTTGGTTATGCCAAGAGGACTTTAACATCTCCTTCATGTTGACCAGACTTGAGACAGGATTCTCTTGCCTCTAGAATCCTGACCTCACATTCATTAAAGCACTTAATTTAAACAACTTATAATTGCAAATTCCAAGTTTTCTATCCCTTTGAGAAGTTAGTCTTTTAAAAAATCTATTGCTAGTGTTACAGCCCCGTCCTTTCTTTCTCAAGAACCTAGGAATATAATCAGCAGGAAAGTTAGTGTTTTTATCTCCCAGTTTCTGTGCAAGAGTAAGAGCTTAATTTCATCTGACACTTTGCTTCAAGTTGTAAGTCTACCTCTTGTTTGGAAGATAAGAAATTCAATTTACCTTTATTTAAATAAGTCCAATTTGTGAACATAGACTACCTATGATCCACTCAAGCATTCCAGCTCTTAAAAACTTCCCCCTCCCCTTTGTTGTAGTGGAGGTGCTTTCAGCCTCAATTCTGACCTCTTTTCCTTATTGCAATAGCATTGAATAAAGTCGTCCTTGTCTGTTTATCTATTACACCTTATTATATATATATTTTTTTTGCTTTGACAATAGTTAGATGAAATCTGTACATTCAATAATTTGTAAGTTCATTTGAAGTTGGAAGCAAATTAATATATAATGGACAATAAACTTATATACCCATTGCTCCAGAAGGAGACATTCTCTTCATGCTTTTAAGTATGACTGCCATTTACTATGGAGAAAGGAACTATCTTTATCTTACTAGTCTTTCTGTTATAAAAATTTGAGGGAGGGGAATTCACTGCCTTATTTAAAAGTTGTGCAAAAATGTGAAAGACTCATGGGGAATTGTGTCTCAACACAGATGTGAAAGTAAAATGACAAACTTTTAATCTATTCATGGATTCATTAACTTATTCAACTACTGTTTATTGAATGTCTACTATGTGTTAGGAATTTTTCTTATCACCAAAGTGCCAAGAACATATAGGTGAATAAAAAAAAGTCTCTGACCTCATTGAACTTAGTCAATAAATGCCTAATTAAAATAGAATAAGTGTTACAGAACCCAGGGGTCTGTTTGCTTGCTGCTCAAAAGCCATCAAAGAGGCCAGATTGGTGGAAAGTTTGGTTTATTTGAATGTCAGCAACCAAGGTACAGTGTTAGAAGGGCAGGTGCCTCTCCAAGTAGCCTACTACCCCCCACCCCCACAAGAGCTTTGATAGTGGAAAGAGGGAGTTACTTGATGAAACACCACAGTCAGTTTTGACAGTCATCTTGAAGTTGGTCACCAATAGTCTGACCAGCACCATCTTGATTGTTTTAAATATAGTTAGTCTTCAGTTCCAGGAGATTTTCTGTTGCATTTCTTGAGGCCAGTTCTCAGAATTGTGGCACCTTATGTCATGACTACAGTCTGGTCATCATGTAGTTAAACTCTCCACCTGGTGGAGGTTTCAGTGTCTCTAAAATAGCTCACAAGATATGGTCCAGAATATTACTTATAGCCCTTCAGAAGGAGCTGAATGTCTGGTTATGTTTAATGACTACAGTATTTCTATTGGTCTCCTTTGATTGTTTTCCTTTGTTTTGCATGTTATCTGCAGTGATTTTGGAGCCCAGAAAAATACTCTGCGTATAAGTTAAATAAGCCTTAACGTACTCCTTTTACTATTCGCAACCAGTCTGTTTTTCCATGTCTAGTTCTAACTGTTGTTTCCTGAACTGCATACAGGTTTCCCAAGAGGCAGGTCAGGTGGTCTGGTATTCCCACCTCTTTCAGAATTTTCCACGGTTTATTGTGATCCACACAGTCAAAGGCTTTCACTTAGTCAATAAAGCAGAAATAGATGTCTTTCTGGAANGGTATCTCTAATTTCCTTGAAGAGGTCTCAAGTCTTTCCCATTCTTTTGTTTTTCTCTATTTCTTTGCACTGATCACTGAGGAAGGCTTTCTTATCTCTCCTCACTTTTCTTTGGAACTCTGCATTCAAATGGGCATATCTTTCCTTTTCTCCTTTGCTTTTCGCTTCCCTTATTTTCACAGCTATTTGTAAGGCTTCCTCAGGCAGCCATTTTGCTTTTTTGCATTTTACTATGCAAGTTTTAATTTGCTGGTGACTATTTATTCAGTTATATACCCTATAAAAATAATTGATCTGTGATATTTTTAATTTTGAGGTTATAGTAAGTCCCCTACATATGAACCTTCAAGTTCATATGTATGTACTTGCCTGGGAAGTATTCTTGCCTGGGAAATCCCTATAGCCTGCCAGATATTTTGTACTTTATATTGCTGTTTAGTTGCTCAGTCACGTTCAACTCTTTCACAACCCCATGGACAGAGGAGGAACTTTATAGAAGAGGATATGTGAAGGTCCTATAAGCATATAAAATGTTTGATATAGCTGATAATCAGAATAATCAGGATATAAATAAAACATCTTTGAGAGAAAGTTTTTGACAATCATATTTTATATTTTAAACATTTTAAAAGTGTTTCAATATCAAAAACTGTTAAAAATATTGGAACAGATATTTTTATTATGAAATTGTTATTTAAGTGTAGCAGTTTGGAAAAAATTTAACAATATTTAGTGAAAATATTATGATCTAGCTTTTATAAAATTTTAAATACTTTATAATATTTTAATGGGGAATATGCACAATACGCATACAAATATAATTGAATGACTTTATATATTACAATCCTTTAATTAATCAAGGTATTTTGAGTGAGAGAATATCAGGGCTAGGTGTAGGAAAAAAATACTGTGTCTTCTCGATTTCAAGTTATGTTTATAACATTCATTCAGGTTGTTAGGTGAGGCATTCATTTATTATTTTCCATTGAATATGCTATTACATTGTATGAATAAGCAACTTTGATAGGTCCATTTCATTGGTATCATAAATGTTGATAGAAACAGCAGAATATTTTTGTTGGCAACATTGACAATAGAGGGTAATTGCCTGAACTCAAATTTCAGTTTGTTTCTACCAGCTGTGTGACACTGAAAAAAAAAAAAAAATCCCTTATTTCCTGCATCTCGGTATACCTATTCTTTAAGAGTGCCTCAGTTCAGTTCAGTGGTTCAGTAGTTCAGTAGTCATGTCTCCGACTCTTTGCAACCCCATGGACTGCAGCATGCCTGGCTTCCCTGTCCATCACCACCTCTTGGAGCTTGCTCAGACTTTTGTCCATTGAGTCAGTGATGCCATCTAACCATCTCATCTTCTGTCATCCCCTTCTCCTCCTGCCTACAATCTTTCCCAGCATCAAGGTCTTTTCAAATGAGTCAGCTCTTTGCATCAGGTGGCCAAAATACTGGAGTTTCAGCTTCAACATCACTCCTTCCAATGAACACTCAGGACTGATCTTTAGGATGGACTAGTTGGATCTCCTTGCAGTCCAAGGGACTCTCAANACTCTAGTTTTTCCTCACTTTCTGCCATAAGGGTGGTATCATCTGTGTATTGTTGATATTTCTCCCAGCAATTTTGGCAAGGTCAGCATTTCACATGATGTACCTTGTATATAAGTTAAATAAGCAGGGTGACAATATACAGCTTTGACATAGTTTTATTACCTCTGAAAATTCTGCAGTATAATATTAGAAAATTTCCTATAAATTTTCTTCAAGATAGTTCAATGAAGGCATCAATCCATTACTAATTGTCAGATAAAATACCACAAGTTAAAGCTGAACATTTCCATACGGGCTTTAAAGCACAGATAAGTACAATGGATATTAAGGTCTTTAAATATAAAGAGCAATCTTGGGGGCAGTCATTTTGACAGGTAACTCCTGCAAAAAGTTCAGCTTAAAAGTAAAATTTAATGCTTACATAATTTACCTCAAAATATTTGTTTTACTATTTTTATATTAATGCAACTGGTATATTAATTTGTTTTCCTGAGAAAGAAATCATCTGTTCATGTTGCTATTATCCATTCAAAACACTGCTAACTTTATTCTAAACTCTCAGTCCTTCCAGTTTAAAGAGAATATATATTCTAATTATGAAAAATAATGAAAACCTTAAAGTATTTTTAGTATTGTTTAATTTTTATATATTTATCATTATT